CCGTCTAACACACAGCACCCAGCTTGGATCTCTCCCGTCTAACACACAGCACCAGCTTGATGTAACCTTCTCTTGAATACACAACAGGGACAAAAAAAGCTCTTCTGTACTCAACACAAAACTAAAATAGAAAAAATATTGCATAATCTTCCCTGGAGTTATGCTAAAAATTTGAAATGGAGAGAGAGAGAGAGAGAGAGAGAGAGAGAGAGAGAGAGAGAGAGAGAGAGAGACAATAACCACGCCGCAGAAAACTGATGCCTAAACCATAACTGGATATGAGAGGGTGTTTTTAGCGTGGTTGTGGGCATCCATTGTCGTTTGCCACACCGGGACGCGGCCGCCCAAATACGGATGTTTATGCACTAACAGCCACATTTCTTTCTCTGTCCTTTTAAAGTTTTATTGCGGCAGGAAACGGGTGGGTGGGTGGGGGGGGGAGAGAGAGAGAGAGAGAGAGAGAGAGAGAGAGAGAGAGAGAGAGAGAGAGAGGTACTGCCTTAAGTTCGACAGTTAAAACACTCGGGGGTTTGGTGTCCGGATTTATGTTACCTGCAGTGCCATCGTTCGTTCTCTTTCTCATTGTGTGACGTCATATACTTCCAACACATTTTGGTATGTTGTCGTTGTGGTATTGAGAGTGGTAAGTGTTATGCGGTTATGTTATCAGTTGTTGCATATCATCAGTATTATCGAAAAATCGTCTGACAAAGTTCCACACATTATTTAATATATTTTTTTCCCATCATTATTTTAATAGTGTCCTAAACAATATGACTATACGCTATAGGGAGAGTCTACAATATACCTCCCTTAACAATTGTTCATTATACTTGCCCCACACATAGGGTAGTAAGCGTATGGGCGGCATGTAAAAAAATAATAGTCACGTTTTCTTGTATTGTTCGTCAGTTTACTTGTATAAATATGGTCACAGAATCTTTATCATGTTTGTCTGGTTTATAGGGTTATATTTTTTATGCTATTATTTGACTCGTCTCGTCTTGTCTTGTGTCTCGTCTTGTCTTGTCTCGTCTTGTCTTGTCTTGTCTCGTCTCGTCTCGTCTCGTCTCGTCTCGTCTCGTCTCGTCTCGTTTTGTCTTGTCTCGTCTCGTCTTAAACCCAGCATTTATAGTGAGTCGCCAATAATAACATCCTGAACTGGTAAAACATTAAATGCCATATCTGCCACCGAGTTTCTCACACCAGTATCACCAAGACAACACGAGACCTATAATGTGCTACACTGTTAAAGCAATACCAACAGTACCATAGAACCATTTACACTCTACAGTATATTAAATTAACCCTAACCAAACCAAACCTGACCTGACCTGACCTAACCTAACCTGACCTAACCTGACCTAACCTAACCTGCCCTAACCTAACCTGACCTGACCTAACCTAACCCAACCTAACCCACGAAAGTCCGTCTAAGGCAGCATATTGAGAAATACAACACTGAAAGAAACTCCCTATAGTGCCAGTCCCAGAGTGGCTGAAACTACTCTCTTGAATTTCATCCCAAACTCTGAACCCTGCCGGTAGTCAAAGCAGTTAATATCGATAATAAAAAGAGCGAAACATGCATCGTACATAGGGGTATAGGGAGGAGGGAGGGAGAGAGAGAGAGAGAGAGATAGAGACATACAAGTAATAACGAAATTACAAAATGAAACGAAAAATATATACAGAGTTATAACGTGATTTGGGGACGGTGTTGTCTCGGATAATATAGAGACAAAAAAAAGGTGGTGTTCCCTTCACAACAACAAAAGTCGTCCTTGGATGCAAAACAAAGCACGGACACAAGGTTGGATGTAGTGAAAGCAGAGGAGGGTAGAGAAAAAACACGAAGCAACAGAGATGGGGAGGAATAATGTAATTTGGAGAGAGGGGGTCGACCAGCTGCCAAGATGGATCGTAGGAGAGAGAGAGAGAGAGAGAGAGAGAGAGAGAGAGAGAGAGAGAGAGAGAGAGTAAATAAATCCAACAACAAACACAAGAGAGAAAAACAATTAAGAGACGAGGAGAGGAACATGGACACACAATCAATCCAAGACACAGGAAACGCAGGAGAAGGGCCCGTGAGAAACAGCATTACCGAAAGAAGCAATAAGAGAAGGAGAAGGGGAGAATCACACGAGGACAAACAGAGAATTGAGAATCGGGAGAATAAAGAAAAAAAATAGTGGAAGGGGAAGACAAGAAACAGCAGGAAGGATTAAGACACAGCAGCTGGAAGGACTAGCTACAATCAGCTGTTCCAGTTGACTGAGATAAATTAAACCTGATAATGATGATGATGATGATGATGATGATGATGATGATGACGTATAAGACGACGATAAAGGAGACAACGACGACGACGCGACGTGATAGTAACGAGAACTAGTTCCTCATGTTCATCAACTAGTTACAAGGAGAGACCGACTTGTGTGTGTGTGTGTGTGTGTGTGTGTGTGTGTGTGTGTGTATGTGTGCGTGTGTGTGTGTGTGTAATAATAATAATAATAATAATAATAATAATAATAATAATAATAATAATTGACGGTTTATTGAAAAATTCTGCAGTCCGAAGGCTGGAAAATAATATACATTGGACATAAATGACTTATTACATACATTGGTGGTTTAACAAAAGCCTTCATTAGAGAAAGGTAAAGGAACATACAGTGAACATATAGATTATTGTAGGTGTTGAACAGCAAAAACGTAGTGTAGTAACTCCCTCCCAGATGGTGTTAGGAGGAACCTCACGTGGTGTAGTAATTCCCTCACAGATGGTGTTATGAGGGGCCTCACGTGGTGTAGTAATTCCCTCACAGATGGTGTTATGAGGGGCATCACGTGGTGTAGTAATTCCCTCACAGATGGTGTTATGAGGGACCTCACGTGATGTAGTAATTCCTTCACAGATGGTGTGATGAGGGACTTGACGTGGTGTAGTAATTCCTTCACAGATGGTGTGATGAGGGACCTGACGTGGTGTAGTAATTCCTTCACAGATGGTGTGATGAGGGACTTGACGTGATGTAGTAATTCCTTCACAGATGGTGTGATGAGGGACTTGACGTGGTGTAGTAATTCCCTCACATATGGTGTTATGAGGGATATGTGTGTGTGTGTGTGTGTTGACTCCGTGCTTATCTCTCGTCTCTGACTATAACTGGCGTATTCTCTCTCTCTCTCTCTCCTCGATGACACTCGTCGGGTATTTTTGGATTTAATGCTCTTATTAGTCTATGAGACAAGACAATAACACAACACACAGACACACACGCGCGCACGCACGCACACACACACACACACACGCACGCCAGCCCGCCCGCGCACACACACACGCGTAGGTTATTCTGGTCCTTTGTTGAAGCCGGAATTAATGACGCCTCACTAATTGTGTTATAGAAGGAGGTTTAATATTAGGGAGATGAATGTGTAGTACGGTATTGTTGGCTTCTCCCTTCCTCTCTTCCTTTTCCCTCCCTTCCTCTCCCCCTTCTTCTCTCCCTTCTGCCCCCTTCCTCCCTCCTCCCTCTCTTCCTTCTCCCATTCTTTTCCTTCTTCGTCTCTCCCTTCCTTCTCAGTGCCTCACCTTCCTTTTCTTCTTCTTCCTTCTCTCCATTCTCCATCCTTCATGATTTTTTCTCCTTTCTTTCCCTCCCTCCCATCTCCTTCCTTCTAAATATCTCTTCTTTCTCTTACCTACTCCTATCCCTCCATCTATTCCTTATTTCTGCTTCTACCTTCCTTCCTTCCTTCTCTCTCCCTCCCAATCCCCTCTTTCCTTATATCTTCCACTCCCTCCCTCCCTCTCTCCCCTTTCTTCCATGCATTTCTATTTTTCCCTCGTTTTCTCTCTCTCTCTCTCTCTCTCTTCCTTCGTTTTCTTTCTGCTCTCCTCTCTCCGGTCCCGCTCCTTTCCTCCTCTATTTTCTAATCTCTTTCTCTTCTCTCTGTCTCTTCCTTTCATCTATTCATCTTTAATTTCCCTGTTCATTATTACACCCTTTGACCTTGTGAATTTTATCAATCACGTCTGAGGGTTGGCGACCACGACACCCCCTCCCCCCTCAAGAGGATTAAACTAAGGCGACAGTGTTTTTATTAAGCGTGAAAAATGAAAAGTGGATGTGTGCTATATTGGTAGTGTGGATGGCTAACATATTGAACGAAGATCCTAGTGTGGTTAAACAGACATACAGAAACAAACACACACACACACAAACACACACACACACACACACACACACACACAGTTATCAATACCAGCATCAATAAATAAAATAAATGAAAACGAATGATTTTACAACTACAAAATAACAAATAAAATACAACTTCCAGGAGAGAGATCATAGCCTAGGGTCTAACTAAGAGATCGATTTTCCTGTAAGATACCTTTACAAATATTACTGAATATATGGACTCGGTTAATCGGTATGTCTTCGGGCTAAATACCTTTAAATGTTGTATATATGGAAGGTAGCATTATAGGGTACTGGGTATATGCGAAGTAAATATATAGTGACTACACCCAGCACCGTCCTAGGTGAGATAAAAGGCTATACCTCAGGTTATCATTTCATTGACGGAGCATTATTCAGGCTCTGAAAGCAGGTCGTACAGCCAGCCAGCCACTCGGCGGCTCCTGGCGAGAATAATCACCCTTCAACAACATCGTTAAAGCTTACTGAGGAATTATTTTCTTTTAAATTGTTAATAAATAATTTAAACCAGAACAGAAATCATAACAAGAGTTAAGAACGCTGACTGACAACCAATTAACGTTCAATATTGACGTCTAATAATATTCACATTTGAGACAACAGGACCACTAACCGCCTCTCTGCCCGCTGTGAATGATGATGTGACCTTCTACTGTTCTTCTAATGTTTATCTACCCTACTAATGCCTGTACTGGTGTTATGGAACAATATTTATACATCAATTACCGAATAAAATATAAAAATGATTCTGTATTTCATGTACCAGTTAGTATCATGAAGATTAATGATCCTACAGTTAGTATCCTGAAGATTAATGATCCTACAGTTAGTATCCTGAAGATTAATGATCCTACAGTTAGTATCCTGAAGATTAATGATCCTACAGTTAGTATCCTGAAGATTAATGATCCTACAGTTAGTATCCTGAAGATTAATGATCCTACAGTTAGTAGTATCCTGAAAATTAATGATCCTACAGTTAGTATCCTGAAGATTAATGATCCTACAGTTAGTATCCTGAAGATTAATGATCCTACAGTTAGTATCCTGAAGATTAATGATCCTACAGTTAGTATCCTGAAGATTAATGATCCTACAGTTAGTATCCTGAAGATTAATGATCCTACAGTTAGTATCCTGAAGATTAATGATCCTACAGTTAGTATCCTGAAGATTAATGATCCTACAGTTAGTATCCTGAAGATTAATGATCCTACAGTTAGTATCCTGAAGATTAATGATCCTACAGTTAGTATCCTGAAGATTAATGATCCTACAGTTAGTATCCTGAAGATTAATGATCCTACAGTTAGTATCATGAAGATTAATGATCCTACAGTTAGTATCCTGAAGATTAATGATCCTACAGTTAGTATCCTGAAGATTAATGATCCTACAGTTAGTATCCTGAAGATTAATGATCCTACAGTTAGTATCCTGAAGATTGATGATCCTACAGTTAGTATCCTGAAGATTAATGATCCTACAGTTAGTATCCTGAAGATTAATGATCCTACAGTTAGTATCCTGAAGATTAATGATCCTACAGTTAGTATCCTGAAGATTAATGATCCTACAGTTAGTATCCTGAAGATTGATGATCCTACAGTTAGTATCCTGAAAATTAATGATCCTACAGTTAGTATCCTGAAGATTAATGATCCTACAGTTAGTATCCTGAAGATTAATGATCCTACAGTTAGTATCCTGAAAATTAATGATCCTACAGTTAGTATCCTGAAGATTAATGATCCTACAGTTAGTATCCTGAAGATTAATGATCCTACAGTCAGTATCCTGAAGATTAATGATCCTACAGTTAGTATCCTGAAGATTAATGATCCTACAGTTAGTATCATGAAGATTAATGATCCTACAGTTAGTATCCTGAAGATTAATGATCCTACAGTTAGTATCCTGAAGATTAATGATCCTACAGTTAGTATCCTGAAGATTAATGATCCTACAGTTAGTATCCTGAAGATTAATGATCCTACAGTTAGTATCCTGAAGATTAATGATCCTACAGTTATCAACACCAAGAATAACAAACCTACAGTTATCAACACCAAGAATAACAAACCTACAGTTATCAACACCAAGAATAACAAACCTACAGTTATCAACACCAAGAATAACAAACCTGCAGTTATCAACACCAAGAATAACAAACCTACAGTTATCAACACCAAGAATAACAAACCTACAGTTATCAACACCAAGAATAACAAACCTACAGTTATCAACACCAAGAATAACAAACCTACAGTTATCAACACCAAGAATAACAAACCTACAGTTATCAACACCAAGAATAACAAACCTACAGTTATCAACACCAAGAATAACAAACCTACAATTATCAACACCAAGAATAACAAACCTACAGTTATCAACACCAAGAATAACAAACCTACAGTTTTCAACACCAAGAATAACAAACCTACAGTTATCAACACCAAGAATAACAAACCAGACTTTACTTAAGGCTCAGACATTGAAGGGGCATACATCAGACTTCCAGAAAGCACTCAAGAGTATGCCCCTGTACTTCGCCCCCACGACCGGAATCCTGAATTGCAACAAGCTACTGTGACAAGTTTTCAAGATGCTGTGGAGGAAGGAACTGTTATCATCCCATCAAGTTTGAGGGTCAGTGACACTCTGATAACCAGTGCTACCTCCTCCCCCCCCCCCTTTACACACACATTTGTTTGTTCTTGTACAACATCATATTAAATGGTTAACCTTTTAAGAACGATCGTAAATCCCCATTCACTACTCAGCAGTAATCTAACTACCACATACTGCAGCTCCTCAAGAGCTCATGGTGTTTGGAAATTGCTCGCCATTTAGAGTTCGTTTTAGCCACCCTTAGTGAAGACAGTCTACTAACCTTTTATGTACGGGGGTTGCCTCTGGGCTGAATAAAAGCGTCTGGCGTTAATCAAATCAAATAGTAAAAGTGGCGTCCCCGTAATGAAGGGGTTAAGATGTCGTTGTCAGGCAGTTAAGCTTTTATGTGTCAGTAGCCATAAACAGACGAACGTTTGCACCCGCTGATGGTGGTCTTGGTGTGTCGTGTAACCCACTACAGTATCTTCTAAAACAACACACACCACAGCATCAAGAAAGACCCAGGAAACCGCCCCTATAGCCTGTACGTCGTCAGCGTTAATCGTTCAAGCCCAAAGCACAAGAAATATTCTTATTACTGTATAGAAAAAAAAGCAATAAATACAGACTATAAAGACCTGACACCTCTTAAGACTCTGGGGACAATCCTGCTCACTATTACGCTCTTTTACTACTGCTGTGAAATTCTTAGATGCTCTTGGAAGACAAAATGCAGACACTTCATCTACAGAATCTGCAAAAGGCTTTTGAAAATTGCGATTTATCTGAACATAAGATGAAAGCAAAGGGTGTCTCAGGAATTGGGTGTTAGGATGCATCTCCAACACTAAAACGAAACTACCACATCCGTATTCATCATCAGTATATGGCTGAGTGTCTCGAGGAACTGTGTTTGAGCCTCCAGCAACGTTCCAACATACTTTTATCTACGAAAAACAAAATCACAAACTAGATCATCTTGTCATGGCTGGGTATAAATTCAAGATTCTTGCTAGAACGAATTTTAGTTTGATACGAGACAATCACATCTAATTTCAATACGGCTAAAAAAATAAAAAATAAAAACTATCGAACAATAGTCAGATGACCTCGACTATAACATCGCCGTGGGCATGATGAAGGAAAGTAACGGAATGGTATTGTAAGAATGCTGAAAGCTACTATTCTAACATATCTACCTGCCAATTAAGGTATTACTGTATACTAATAAGGCCGTGTAAAGCTAATGAAGCAGGTGAACGGGATGTGTAAATTAGGATACCTGGTGACTCGTTATTTTGACCCGTGTCTTAATAATCCCTGACATGACTTAACCAACGATTAGGATTGTGGTCCAGTCATAATGCGCTCCAGACTATGCAGTTGGGGTATAAATAATCAGGGATAACAGTGTACATGTTCCTAGTCATTACGACGCTTAAAACATAACACTGTACAGTCGGGGTGAAAAGTTCCTTCCCTCCCAAAATGAAGCAGCATCGACCCCAAACGAGATACAACAGTCAGGGTAAGTCAGTTCGGAGACTCATTCCCTTGACTCAGTTTCACTACGAGGAGCGAGCTTTTGTCCGCGACTGTACATGTTAGCAGCTATTAATGCAGTCATGAGGTGACAGTGTACATGCTCCTACCTATTACTTCATTCATAAGAAAACAGTGTACATATCCGTAGCCATCAGTACACGCAAGAGATAATGGTGTACATGTTCAGAAAGCCATTACCGTTACCGCCTCCAACTCCGTGCGACCCAAAGGGCCTCCACACACTCGAGCCAGCCATTTCGATCTTGAGTAATTCCCATGGTTGTATTTAACTCGTCCTCCGTCTCCCTTCTTATAGGTCGCATCCATGTAGGCCTTGGTCTTCCTCTTCTTCTCGTTCCGTTCACTCGACCGCTTCTCTCAATACTCTATCCGGGCCCACACGCAGAACGTGCCCCAGCCACCTCCATCAGCCATTCACTGATATAGGGAACATTTGTGACTTCTCTCATCGTCTTGTTTCTAATATGATCACGCCATCTTATGTTCAAGATTCTTCTCAATGCCTTATTCTCGAAAGTTCGGAATTTTCTGGATAAAGTGTCATTATCATGCCAAGATTAGTACACTTAAAAGAAAGCAAGAGCAACATTCACAACAAAAGAAAAAAGTATTAGGAGACACTCATCAAGACACTCCAAGATTATTCCACTGAAACGAAACTTCACAAAACTCCTTCAGAGTCAAAGGAACCAATGTGGACACAGTAGGTGCAGCAGCGACTTGATGTGGTCGAACCCAAACAGTCAGGTAGATCACAAGACGACTCAACACCCCACCAACCCAGGACACACAGGGTGACGTGTGTAGCCGAAACCAACTGCAGTTAACTCTAGGCAGTGGACACGATGGAACTACTGGTATTCATGACTGGTTTGACAAATATTTTTCTAATGTATGTGTGTGTGTGTGTGTGTGTGTGTGTGTGTGTGTGTGTGTGTGTGTGTGTGTAAATTTATATCGAGGTCATTTGGGAAAATATGAAAATTGTCAACACGTGTAAAATATTACATACACATCGTGGTTAAAAAAAGGCCTTCTGTCCATCACTCACCGGGTGCGTGACAGCCTCACATCAGCCCAGGTAACATGACCCATAAGGTCATTTATCTTACGCCTGTACACCTCACCACTAAAATACCCCGGCCCATGTTTTCAAACTCTCGGTCATACCCAGATTAACAAACTCCACACTTATTACGACGACACACCACGACAAACAGTTGAAAATCTTATCGCTCAGTGACATTAAATCTGCTTTCACCAGAGCAAATTTAGCCAAGAAATGTAGATTACATAAATTCCTTTCAAATTTATTTTACTGGTATTAATTTAACCTTTTATTCTTCCCGGATAACTTTGCTCATAAACTGTAAATATGTAAATCATCACCAGTGTAAAAATCGACCCCATTTACTTAACGTCCTACATAATATAACAGGAGTACCTAAGATTTGGCCATAAGCTGCGTCAGAGTGGACTGGTTGCAGGGGATGGCTTAACCTCGGCTGTCAGTCAAGCCAGAGACCAGGGCAGTCTCCCAGCGTCCACTGCTCAACCAGATACACACCTTCCCCGGCTAAATATTTCAACACCCACCCAGGAGTTCAGTACCGCACAGCTCCGGTACATTAAAGCAACGATGCAAGCAGTGCGGTAGGCTCGCACATGCATATACAAGGAGGGGCACATACACGACCAGGTGTCCGTGCACACTCACTGGCAGAGGAAATAATAATAAAAATGGTGGCCCCTCGAAATCGAGGATAGCCGGCCCAAGGGCCACCGAGGCGTGAATTTGTTTAAGGTGTAGATGCTGTCGCCAACACAACAACCACACCCTGAGTTAATGAGTTGCATGAACCAGTTTCCAGGAATAGTTTGAGAAGACCGGACAACTCGCCAACTGCCCTGGCTAATCATTACCCCGGAACACGATCCACAAATCAGTTAACATCCGTCCCCAATTACTGCTGGGTAGACAGAGGCAAATGACGTAAAGAAACTTGCCATAATTTCACCCTGCCCGGGGATGAAACCCGGCACCACTGGCTTGCGAGGCGAGCATGCTGAACATTACACCAAACACACACACGAAAATACTCTATCACTGGAGTCAGCGTGTTGACACATACAGTACACGCACGCAGGATATTGATCTCCATGCATCTGGCTGTCGCTAACTATACTGTTTCATCAAAAATTGTGCTCTCCCTTCCCTCTCACCATCGTCACACTCCCCCTCCCAGCCTCCCCTTCCTCATCCCCCCCATGTTCCTCCATGAGTGCAGGGTGAACAGATATACCCGATACAGTATAAATAAACCAAGTGTACAATAAGACTGAACTGAGTGGTGGTCTAATTGATGTACGGTGTTCCTTTTGACCCAACACGTAATCACCACTAGTGATGCCAAGTATAAACTACCACAGCTCTTTCCATCCCCATGGTGTGTTGCCGACAGACATACTGTAGTTAAGACTCATTGTCATACTCACGTGACTCTGGAACTGAATGGATAACACACCGCGAGCATCACACCACGTCTTCTGTCACTGTTGTGCGGGGGGGGGGGATCAACTTACCTAGAAAAGATAAGAAAATACATTATTAAAACCTATTAACAATAAAAAATTATGGTGAAGACAAAAGAAGTCTCTCTCTCTCTCTCTCTCTCTCTCTATATATATATATATATATATATATATATATATATATATATATATATATATATATAAGAGAGGCACCCTTGCACCAAGCAGTTTCCGTCTCCCTGGTAAAAGCTGGTGACCCCGACGTCATTTTTCAAGGCGACAGGCTGACCTGAGGTGGCCAGAAATATCTATTACCAAATGACGGCAGGGGATTACTACCGCTGGAACAGTTATTAATTAAACGCTCATATTGCCTGTTACATTATAGAAATGCTTGTTACATTTATCCTAAGTATTTATAGTAATAGTAATACAGTATTACTCTTGTTGTTGTTAATGATAATTATTAAAGATAAGTTTAACATATTAAGTAATAATCTAAGTTAAAATATCACTGTGTTTACAGCATTATCTCTCTCTCTCTCCCGCAGTTATTACAGCCCCAGCTGCTACCTGCACCCTTACAGTCACAATATTTGCATCACTTATCTCCTGTGGGACTACAGTACACTTTCTCCTGAGACACAGAGAAGCAGTAAGGTGTGAAGATGCCCCCAGCGGCTAGTTTACCCCCGCCCTGCAGCACCTCCGTCTGTATACCACTCAGAGCTTTACAACTCACCAAGGAGACTATGGCCCTGCTGGTCACTCTT